GTAAAAAGGCATGGAAAGCCAAGACACCAGCTGAACTCTCTCAGTAATTAGAAAGCAAGCCTGCCCCTTGTCAGTGCAAGTTAATATCAGCTGGTTCAGTTCTAGTGTTTATAACGTGAAACAGTGTGAAAACATTTAAGGTTTAATTTGACGCCTCTCACCAATCGTCCATCCATACACAGTGTTAACACCGGTGCGAAGGCTCTCCGTTTTCCCACCCACCAAACTTTGCAGCGCTTCCCTCAGACTGATCTCCAGCTCGGACGGGTTGGAGCTGGAGGCTGGGATGGGCAGGACGATCGAAGAGGAACCAGGATGCTCCAGGAGGAGCGTGGCCGCGATGTGCTGCAGCTTCAGTTTATAAGTCTCCACGTGACTTGGCTTGCTTTCTGCTCACAGAAAATATAAAAAAACAATTAAAAAAAAACAGAGAAATGTTTGCAAATTATTTGAACCTGTGCTGTGCTGCCATCTGCTGAACCAGAGCCGGAGTTTCAGTCTCAGAGGCAAACCACAGAGGTTCAAATCAGTTCAACAGTTCCACAGATACACATTCTTTGACTAAATAACTTGGATTTCATATAATAAAAGAGGCTAATTTATACCACAAATGTGCTGAACAAAGTTTATTTAAGCAAACTTACAGCTTGGTATCAGTTTGTCTATTCTTGAAGTTTTGATTTTTTTTAAACATCCAATTATTTTATTTTCTCTTTCTAATCTGTCATCTGTAAATTATTACCATTATATCAACAGGGTGTTAGCAGATCAGACACTGCAGTAGAGTGAAATTTAGTACTATTTCATCATAAATTCTTATATCTTGTATCTAATAATCTAAACTAAAAATGAGCTGCTTTCTTAAGGTTCTTTGTTATTTTAACAGGGTCTGTGTTGTGTTGGGSGCAGTAGTTAAGAGGTTGTATTAACAAGTAAAACAGGGTTAAATATTAAGTTGAATCTGGAATAATAAATATTCTTTATAAGGAAAATTAAAAATATATATGTTCTCCCTTCTGACCCAAATTTGAAGGACAGATGCACTTCAGTAAAAGTATAAGACTGTGGAATAATCTGGAGGATGACTATAAAAGCATTGGATCAGTTAATTACTTTAAGAAAATGATCAAGGAAAAATTGTTAATGAAAAATGAAGTTGTTTAATTTGTATCAGTTACTGTCTGAGTTAAGTTTTTAGTTGTTTTTGTTTGATTTATCATTGTTTAAAATATACATATATACTGTGTGTGTGTGTGTGTATGTATAGATATACTGTATATATATGTATATATATATTTTTTTTAAAGGAGCAGATATAAGAATTTTCTTCTTCTGCTGCCTTTCATTTTATTTTACTTTGTATTGCTTTGTTGTGTTTGAAATGTTTTTTTTGTTTTTTTTAATGAAATGAATAAACAAATTTGACTTTTTGACTTTATATTTGCAAATAGTTTTAACTTAATTTCTTACAGTTAAATGCAATGTTAGAATTTGAACGAGGCATGTGAACTGTGACTCATTTATCAACTTTTAACAACTATTTTAATTTCCCCAATCAAGATAAAGCTAGCTGGATAATTTAAAATCCATTTCCCCATTTTCCTAAAACTCAGAAGAGGAGAAACATACAGTAAATAAATAAAAGGGGGGATTAGGTTATGAAAACCAAAATAAGCAAAAAAGCACTAAAATTGCTGCAAAAATAAAAAACAGCTTTGAGTATTAAATAATACATTTATCACAGAATAAAATATGAAAAGTGGATCATAAGTTTTTATTAGATAAATAAGAACAGAATAGCCTAAATCAGTTCTAAAATAATTTATTATTCTCCTTTTTTAATGTACATGCATTGYTACTGTTCGTCTTTTTATTGCACGTCCTTTTATCAATTGTTTTTCTACTGTTTTTCTAATTCTGTTATTCTACTTCAGTCCTTCATCTAAACACGTYAACACAATGATAATCCTGTTTGGGACCAAATGAGGCATCCTAAATAATTAATTAAATTATCCTTTTGCAATGCTCTAGACTAACTTTTTGCGCTGGTTGCGACTCACATTTTTTCTTAGGCGCACCAGCACAAAAGKTAGGTGCACCCAAATTTTCAACCATGTCGCCTAACATCAGAGTTTTACAGGTTATTTTTTTAATCACTTTTCATTAAGGCAACATTAACTCGAAAATAATTAGTTAACAATCTAGTAAACATAAAGTTCTTTATTTGAACCAGAATTGTAGACATTTAACTTCCTGAAAAATATTTAAAGTGATTCTATAAAATTCTAAGTGCAAATGTTTAAGGGCTGAATGTCTTATAAACATATTAAACATTTCATGGTGAAATTTTTTTTAGACACCTGCCCCTCAGATGGACAACTATGGACCTTTGGCCTTGGATAAATCAGAATGATGAACAGAGAATAATGATTAATAACAGAAATATTACTGATATTTATTAAAAGGTTGTGCAGATTTTTTTAAATAACACATAAAAGTCTGCAATTTCATCAGTAGTTGAATCTCATTATCTTATATTATTTCACTTAAATATCTAATATGTCTAGTTTTATCTTCCTGAGACCCAGAAGAACCAATTTCAGATACTTGGAAGGTAACTGTGGTGAAGTCGATTAAGTGCAAAAGCGGCCTGCCATACACGTGAGCTTCCTCGTCCTGCTCAAATGATCTGCAGCGCTCAGACCCCAACTGTTAAATTAACAAGATGGACGAGCGAGCAACCGTCCACATCTTGTTTTCATCTCCAGCTAACAAGAAAGAAATGTTTTTCAGACTCCGATCTGGGTTAAAAAAAAAAAA